GCCATCTCAAAAATACTAACAAATATGCAAACAAAGCAGCAGCCGCTGAGCAAGGCCAGATTCTGGAGGGACTTCCTGGTGGTGGCCTGGGCTCTCCTCCCCTTTGACCGGTTTTTCTTAGCCCTGCAGCGTTGTGATGCTGGGTCTCACTCATCGCCACCACCTTGGGGACCTCGCCCCTCCAGCCCATCCCCTTTTCTCCCATGTCTCCAACCTCTTCTTTTTTGCTAGATTCTTCTTGTGCCCATGTTCAAATCTCTGCAGTCTTAAAACAATAACAAGAACAATAAACACAACCCTCTTCCCTGGATCTCCAGTGCTGTGTTAGGATGGCCTTGGGCCTGAGTCTAAGCACCTCCATTTTAAAAACTCCAGTTTGACCTGCAGTCTCACCAGGCACACCCACAGAGCCCTCCAGGGTGGCCTCAAACAAGTCACCTCCCCTCACCCCTGGCAGGCTGTCCTCGCCTGATAAGAGGGAAAGGCGAGAAGATCAGGGTGGAGACCACCAGACCAGATGTTCCTGACCCCAGGGTAAATGATGTCACTGAGAAATCCAGTGGTAGCTGATAAGGATTGAAAGGGGGGTCCAAAGTCCCCAAATGTAGTATAAATGATAGAGCAAATGAACAGGGATCCAGCCAGCCGAAACAAGGATGCACTTGAGCTGGAGAGGCTGATGAGGACCTGACATCCCGTCACTTGTCATCATTCCTGAGCCTCTACGTGATCCTCACCGCTCTCAAACCCTACCGCCTCATCTGGACCCTGGTGAGAGCTCCCCCCTACAGCCCCCTCCTCAACCGGTCCTCCACGCCAGGGGAAGCCTGCCTTGGTTCTGGACCTGATCACCAGGGTCGGAGTGAGTATGCATCTGCTGGACTCAAAGCCTTAAACTTAAGACTTTGAACTTAGCATGCAGAGGGAATGTCTGTCATCAGCCTATCACGATTAAGTGTGTTTTGCAGTGCTTAAAATTAATCTAGAATTGTTTGCTGTGAATTAATTAATCTAGAATTGTTTGCTGTGTGTTGATTATGTCTGTTGCAGTGCCCAGCATTAAGGATTGTCCTTTTCTTGATTAAGAGCCTGTAGAGTGAACCTGTATTGAGTGATTTGAGTGAATAAAGCATTGAAAGGGGCAGAGGCGTGTGGACATTCTTTATTTCTCCCCTCCACTGCATGGGTTGCAGTTTTGCCCCCTGGCGTCAGACTGCCTTACTCCTTAGGTTTTTTTTAGTGACCTTTTTGCCTTTGTGGCGCTGGGGACGGAACCCAGGGCCTCGCACATCCTGGACAAGCTCTAACACTGAACTTCGCCCACCGTCCTTAGTTACTTTTTGGAGGGTGACCTTCCCACGTTGAGCCCAGTGGCCGTTCTCCCTCCTCATGACCCTTGACGGGGGTTGTCATTCTTGGGCTTCTCACTTTTTTCTCTGCCCTTTTGTTTTGGGCAATCTCGTCCACGCTCAGTGCGGCAGATTCTTCTTCCCTGGGGGTGATAACTCCTCATCGCTATTTCTAACAGTCCTCTGCGGGCTCCATGGGGACATTCTGCCTGCTCAGGAGGTGCCTGTCTATTTAGGCCCTCGGTGGCCACGGAGGCTCTCACTTAACTGTTCAGAAAGTACTTTGCCCTAAATTACCATGCTCCTGAGGGAGAAGGGCCCCGCCCCCACAGCATCAGAAGCAGAAAGATCAGCCTCATTCTAGGTCCTTCCATTCAGCTTCGGGCTGTGTTGTTGAAGACCCGGGAACCTTCCCTCTGAGTTTCCCGGGCATGCCTTGCCTGCTGTCTCCCTTTCCATTCCCCCACTACTGCCTTCCTGCAGCCCCCTTGGCTCCTGGTCTGCACTGTGGCTTGGATGGGTTTGTCCTGCACAGGTTGGTGTGGTAGAAACCTGGCTCCCAGTGGCCGGGGTGGGGGGATGGAGTGGTACCTCCAGAGGTGGAGCTCCTGGGTGGTGCTTAGGAGCCCGAACCTGACCCCTCTGTGACTGGCCATTTGGTCACATGCTCACTCAGGCCTGCACGGGTAACCAGCACCACAATCCACCGCGAGGTGGTGCAGTGGAGGGGGGCCTCACATCAGCAGGGCCGCTTCCAGGGGACTTGCAGCATCCCAGCGGTGAGCTCAATCATCCTCTATCAAGTCAGGCTGCCTCAGGCTTTGAGGTATGGTGACCAGAAACGGACTAACACATCCTGCTGCAGGTCTTTCTTTGGGTGAACGTGAGCCTCATCCTGTTCTGCCCCAGCTCACCGTGTTGTGAGGATCAAGGAGACTCTGGGTGCTCAGCCACTCCTGTCCCCAGCTCTAGCTCTGCCCCTCCTTCTGCACAGAGTCTTCTGCACCTGCAGCCTCCCGGCTTCCTTGGTGCGGTGGTGGCCCGCGTTTTCAGCCCCTTGGTGTTACACGGAACATCCTTCCTTCCCGATTCCTGTTCTTCCCTCACCTTCTTTACCTTCCCGGCTCCTGCTCATCCATCAAAATTTAATTAAAGCATCACAGTCCCCTTGAAGCACCTGCTGTCACTCCAGTCAGGTTTGAATTTCCCCCTTGGCACCCAGGCCGCTCTCTCCCTGTCTGTTGTGAGAGGCAGAGTATTCTAGGATGACTCCAGGACAGACATAAAACGTCTGGGGTGGAACGCCAGCTCTCCACTTGTGCACTCTGTGACCTGATGGGGTGACTTCCTCACCCTGTAACCACTGATTTACTTGCCTTTTTTCCAAAACAGACACATCTTTGAGGTATAGAAACCATGTTCGATTTGACTGTGTTCCTCAGCACCCACCACAGTGGCTGGGACACAGTAGACACTCAGTAAATGCTCACTGGACAAATGACTAGTAACAAGTGGGATGCAAAGTTAGAATTTTACTTTTGAAGTTTGCTAACGGGCAAGATTGCCCTAATTTTATCTTGCATGTTTTTCTGCTTGCACGTAAGATGTTGGTGGCATCTCATTAACTTATTGTACACAGGCTCACTGTTCCCCAAGTCAAGAATCTTCCATTCTCGACAGAAGGGCACAATGTAGTTAATTAACAGGACTGCGATTCTGGAGAGCAACGTGCAGGCAGACACTGTGACAAAATTCCTTTGAGACACACGTAGAGAGACAAAATTTGAATTCCTATCACAGAGATATCAGAAAGCCTAGCAAACTAAAGAGGGGGGAAGGAGAGACAGTTTACAAAAGTTTGACAGCAGAAAAGACCCTTCCTGAGCCTTCTGCCAGCTAGCCACTGCTGGAAGAGCAGAACACAGGGAGAAGGGGCCGGGAGGGATCCTGGTGGGCAAGAGACAGAGTTAAACACTGTGATGGGTGGGGTGGCAGAAGGCCAGTCATGTTGTTTTTTCATATCTCTTGTGAAAGAAATCGAAAGTAAAGGACAAAGAGGATTGAGGCTCCCCCTCCCCCAAATGATAGGCCAAGAGGACACAAGCAATCAGGCCTCAGACCCCTCTACATCAGAGAACTTTTGACCCTGTGCTGATGGACATCTTTTCTCAGTAGGTCCCCACCTGGCCCAGACTCACCATGGCCTGGGCTTCACATGCTGAGAGCTATGGCTTTCATTAGAGCAGAACATTCCAATCCTACACTGAGCCACAAGGTCATCTACCCCAGCTCCTTCCCTTCCAAGAAATTCTTCCTTTCTTGTCCTTCCTCCAGTCTCCCTCTCCAAGATTCTTTAAGATACCTGACCCCTTTCTTACAGACCTCTTGACACCCTACCTACCCAAATCCAATTCTTGACAAACAACTGGTATAATCCTTCTCACTGGTGGCTTAAAACTTGTTTGAAACCTGTAGATGGTGGAGCCCACATTCACGACAGCACATCCTCAGGCTCCCTTTCAATTTGATCTGGCTTAGCTCAGATCTGTGATGAGCAACTGTGGGAAGAGAATTCCAGCAGCTACTATATGCTGAAACAAATGCTATCATAAAAACCTGCACAAATTAGCAAACCCATTTTATAGTTTAGGCAATTGAGATTCAAAAAGACCATGCAATTTACACAAAATTTGAATTTGAACCTGAGATGCCAACTCTAAACCTTATTGCCTTTCTGCATATCATAGTCTATTGTTTTCTAAAATAGAATCCTGCAGCAGAAAGATGTTTACCTGATAATCTCTTTTTAAAATATCATTTTGCATAAAAATATTCCATCAGATAATACTGGAAAATGGATTTGGGGTCATTCTTGCATGAGACCCTGTAGCTTAAGCACTCAGGTAAAGGGGACAGAAGGCAGGCAGGAGGCTGAGGTTCTGTGGAGGGAGGAGGTTTGGGGTGGGGTGGTGGACATAGTCTGTGATCTTGTGGACTCTGACTTATCTCAGTAGGCAGGGGACCTGGCACCTGTGGCTTGAAAGTTCCTAAAGCTGAACTTAGGCTGTGGGGACACCAGGACCCTGGCAAAGCAAGAATTGCATTTCTCAGATGCAGCTAACACAGCTCTCCCACAGAAGCCAGGCCTCCTCTGGTCTTAGGAGGCGAGGCAGCGGAGCTGAGCTAAGCAGCATCTGATCTGGGTCTGCCTCTGATAGCTTGGCTAAATAAATCCAGAATCAACACTTTTACAGGGTGTGTGGGTGGGGGCTTCTTTGGGAAAACTGCATACTCAGCATACTCTTTATCATTCCTGTGTTCCTTTGTGTTCCTCAGATCGCTTCATACACTCCTTTGTCTCCTTGGGAAACAACCCATTTTAAAAAGAACTGCACGTGTGTGTGTTGTCTTCCCATGACATCAGGGCAGCGTGTTCTCCCTGGTCTTCCTGATAACTGGGTCCTGGTACCTCTGCCTGCACCTGCTTCTCTGGGTGTGTCCCAAGGACAGGGCTCAGGTGTGGCTGCACCTTCTGGTCCTGCTCCTGGAACAAGAGCCGTCATGTCCCCCGCACGGCACTGCACATTCTGGCCCAGGACCCCAAGGCCACAGAGGGGCTCTTGGTGCGTTAACCAGAGAACCGATACTCACACTTCAGCTCCAGCTTGATGAAATCTGTGTTCCCCAGATTTTCCAGAAACACTCCCCGAGGGATTAGGGTTTTGAAGTAGAAAGAAATGTCGGCGCTCGTTTCCCCTTGGAAAGTAGAGAAGTGCAGGTAGGATGACGGGTTTGGGAACGAGGCCGCATTCCAGTAGTTCCCTGTGGAGAGAAAAGAAAAATCCAGGTTGATGTATACCTTGATGAAGGCGATCACAGGAGAGAGACCCATTTCTTGAGCTTAACCAACCCCCATCAGCAACATCCTCGTTTCCCTCATCCTGTCGAAAGAAGTTCCCAGAATCCCCACAAACATGTAGGTGTCTATAAAATACTTCACGTTTGGTTTATGCATATTACTTAAATTTCAACATAGAAAATGCGTATACAATTGAAAACATGCCAATATAATAAATTTATATAAAATAGATGAAATATTAATGTCTATAAAATGCTTTGTTAACAATTGCTAGCTGGGGCTCCTAACAGGGCCGTCCCCAGGGACTCTAGGTAGTCAGCACCACGGGGGTGAACGCCCAGAGAGGCCCCTCAGCCTACGTATGTGGTGGGTAGATGGAGGCCGTTTTGAACTTGTGCCCGTGGCTGGTGGCTTTGGTCTGCTGCAAGAAGCGTGGGGGCTAGATCAAAGGATGCTAGAAGAGGAAATGGAGGTTTGGTCTCTATTCCTCCTTCTCATCCACCATGGCCTTGGAATAACCAGTGCCCGCTTCTGCATCAGCAGGTGCTCAGACACCGGGGGGCAGGTGCTTCAGGAATACAAGTGGGGAGCCCAGAGCCTTTTACTTAGGAGCTGAGGAAAAGGGAGGAATGATTGGGCTGGGCTGGGGCAGTTTCCATGGTTTCCTGCTCCAAGCCTCGGATGTGAGTTGCCATAAAGAGAAAGAGTGAGTCTTCCCTACCCAGCTCCTCCTTGGGAACTCGGGGTGCACCTGGGACTGTGGGGTGTTTGGTGAAATGGAGAGTGGAGAGTTGAGCCCACCGGAGGCTCACCGGAGGCAGCCTCCACTCAGGAGCTCCAGGGGAAGACAAAATGTACCCCAACAACCTCCATTCATTGTCTGACAGTGTAGTCACTGTCCCCAGCGGTGAAGCAATTCCCAGGGCAAAATCAGAACACCACACTGGATTACTCAGATTCCCCCAGGATAGATGGACCAAGGACTTAGTAGAAGACCATGGCTTGGCTCTCTGCTTCTCCAGGGAGAAGTCCCTTTTAAATGAGCACATTCAGCATCACAGTTTAAGACCAAGTCACACGGCAGGTTTTAAAGCTGTTACCAAAGGCTTGGACTTTAATAGTAATTCCCAAGTGTTGTGTTTTTTTAAAATGATATCTGCTGTATCTTTTCTTCAAAGAACACAATGAATCGAAGTTCAGTTTATTAGCTTGTACTCATATACACAGTACATTTTCCCTTTCTTTTATGAAAATTATGTTCATATGCAATATTAAAGTCAAATACCATTCTTAAATAAAAGTAACTTTGTGTTAGTACTGTTATGTTAAAGTCATAAATTTAGATAAAACATATCTTTACTCCGAGATGTTAAAATACCGTCTTATTTAATTAATGTTGTTTTTGTTTTCAGAGACATCTGGGATATTGGGATATCTCAATAAATGTGGGTTGGTTCAAAGACAAATACATGATGGTCACCTTAACATTTTAATGAGTTTGGTTGGGCCTCTGTGGCTTCTGACCCAGGCAGCACAGGCTGCAAGTGATTAGCACTGCACTGGCCGGAAACGCAGGCAGGGAACTGGGGTAAGGTGTTTGTGGGATAAGGCACAAAGACAGGGGCACATGGGTGTCTATGGAGATGGGTTCCAGGACCCCCATAGATAGCAAAATCCATGATGCTCAAGCTCCTTGTAGAAAGTGCAGAAATATTTGCATATAACCTGACATGTATGCATTACATCAGCTTTGGAAGGCTTATAGTACGTAATACAATACAAATGCTACGAAAATAGCTGTAATTCTGTAATGTTCAGGGAATAATGACAAGAAAAACATCTATATGGGTTTTGTATAGATGTGATTTATTTTTTAGAAATTATTTTTATCTGCAGTTGCTGAATCCTTGGATTCAGAACCTATGGTTGTGGAGGGCTGGCTGTATTTCCTTGGTTAATGTAGAAAGTTTCTGGTTATCAGGGAGAAAAAAAAAATAAGTTCTTAGTTGAAGTGAGTTGGTGGTTTCTGAATGTTCAACTTAAGTTTAGTTTTGCTATTTACTCTGGGTTTGGTCTGGGTTTGTATGGACTTTGTACATTTAGGCCAAATTGTTGAATTTACAGACATAAAGTTGTAGTGTTTTCTTGGGTCCTGGAGGTCAGCAGGCAGTTCATACCCAGCGAGATCTCTGTAAATGTCTGGAGTAAGGTATTCACGGTTGTGGGGCTGACTGCTCTTGAGGTGTCCCAGAAGTTTCAGTGCAGTTTTGAACTTTTTTTTTTTTTTTTAACTGCAAAGTCATAGCTTTCATGGAGTGGGTGGAAATATTGTTCTCCAATATTTTCTTTTGGAGAAGAAGACGATGGTATGATATTGGGTAGGGTGATGATGGGAAAGAGCGGGTCTTCACTACCCTCCTTCTGGTCAGCATCTGGCTGCCTGTAGAGCAAGAGAAGCACAGGCTCACCTTTACCAGCTGCCTAGAAACGAAGGACTCTCGAGAAAACCTAAATCAAATGAGCAACTCTCTCCCCCATCAGAAAGTCCCAAAGCCTACAGGGAATGAAGATGAGTCACCTGGGGCCACAAGGAGTCTGCACATCCTAATTGGGCGAGGGCCCTTGGAGCCAGCATTGATCAAAGTCCTCAGCCAGCCTTCAGCCTGAACAAGCAGTTCTGTCTCTTCAGGCTGGATCCCCAGGACAGGAATGTAATTAACATTTTAAAGTTTCAATCCAATCCAGTGCATTCTTATTTTCTGAGGTGGTGATATATTAACAGAAGGGCAGTTGTCTCAAATGATTCTAGAAACAGGAAAAGCTAAAAGTAAAACACGCCAGTATTTATTGGAGGTCCAACGCCAGTTCTTCAGAAGGAAATATCTCCAGAGAGGAGAAGGGCGGCTCCATCATTTATTCTACTTTGATGAAACATCTCTGTGGACCACGGTTCCATTTGTTCTAATTCTATCCTCACTAAGCAACTTCAGTTTAATCTGGTCTCTTTGAATGGACCCTTTCACAGTCGATCGCGATTTGCACAAGAGGCATGCTTACTACGTGATACCGTTGGAGTTGTTGCTTGTGACCTCTGGGAAAATTTATGAAATCCAGATTCTTGACTAAAGCAATGGTGAGGGCTGCACTGGTGGTATTGGAGCTGAGGTGTCTACTCTAGAGCTCCTGGAGAGGAGCCACTGAGGCACCGGATATTAGACTTTGCATTTCCATTTATCTTTAAAAGCTCATCCTTTTAAATGTCTATTTTAGTTAACTTTAAGAGGTCCACCGTCTATGAATCCAGTGGCCTGTCGACGGAATTGATAAGGGAGCATGCTCAGTGGGGTGTGACCTTTCGGGCTTGTAATGAGTAAAAGAACGAACTTTGGATGCTGCAGAGCCGGGTTAACCCTCTCCAAACCTCATTCTGAAGAGGCTGCTGCCCAGTTGCTGGATTTTTTGGTCATAATAATAATGCAAGCGCTCCCCCAGTGCACTTACACTTCCAGAAGCATGGAGCTTACAGCATTAATATTGTGGGTTTCCATTGCTCCAAGTGACCATGAGCTCACAAAAGCGGGCTAAAACCACTCCATCTCTGTAACCTTTGGCCCCAGAACATAGTGCTCAATAAATAATTGTTAAATAAATAGATAAGTGATTGGTTGCTCTTCTCATTTATGCCCAATACTACTCCATATGCAAAGTCCTCCAGGGACAGGGTGTGCTTTATGGTAAAGCCTGAGTATTGTGTGCCTGAGCATGGAAAATGCTAGATAAATATAAATAAAATCTAATGTCACTTTAGTGCCTGCAGATAACGGGACACTGCTTCCACTAGCACACCATAATTTTCCTCATCCATGACTTTATTTCTATTATTCCCTACAGACCTCATTGAACAATGCCATACATTTGCAAGACCGATGGTCTCATAACCTTAAGGTTATTGAAATAGCTGCAATTTGTATTTGCGATCAAGGTCAGTGCTATGGAGGGTAAAGCGCATTGGATGAGAATACCAAGTTGGAAACAAGAGATTCCCTGCGGGGCAGGGCTTGAGTGACAGCAGGTGGCAGGGACTGGGCCAGTGTGGGCAGACAGAAGGGGGCAGGTTGGAAACCGAGAGGGAAGACATGATACGGAATAGAAATGACTGTCTGAGACTGCAAGAGTCAGTCAACAGTAACAGAATCCCGAGGCAGGTGGAAAGGCTCAGGGACCCTGGCTGGAGCAGGAGTACTCAGAGCTTGGCAGGATGGTTGGGAAGACATGGAAGGCTCTTCAAGCTTAAGAATGAGATAGTCACGAGAAGCTTTTTAACACATTCTGGACAAGGCCAGGCTTATCACATGTGGCAAGAGGTACCCGAGAGGTACCTCCAGCTCACTGAGCCAGAGTGGGCTGGGACCACACCCCAGGCACGGCTGATGCTCAGCCACACTGCAACCCGTGGCGACCATCAGCAGAAAGCCCCTGTTAGAGGTTCATCCAGACTCATTAACAGCCACTTTCTCCAGTCTGACCACTGATGACGTGGTATGGGATTCCAGCTTCAAAGTTTCTAAGGATAATTTCTGATGGGCAGCATTTAATTTTTGAGCCTCGTCTTCATTGCTCACAAGGTACCCACGGGCACCGTTATGTCTCACGGTGCCACAGGACCACAGCCACCCTGGTTCCCTGGTCCCCCACCTCCCCCTCTCATTGCTTAGAGACAATCCCTTCTGACATCCTTAACTCTTTAGCTGTACCTCCGTATTTAAAACCACTTCTGTAGGTCTTTATTAATTCATCGCTTACAGTCGTTCCCTATTGATTTTCCGCGATGTGAGGTCTGGAGTTATTTTTGCAGACCTGCCTCCCTCCTCCCTTTTTGATATTCTCTCTAAAAAGGGCCCAAAACACAGACTTTTGGCGATATTGAAATTCAGGATTTATAGTTTTAGGAGTAAAATTATTATTCAGTAATGAGCCAGGCAGCAAATGTACATTTCTTTTCGGCATAATTTTTGTTTCTCTAGAATCAATGATCTTTGTTTTGCTTTGCTTAGTTTCCTGTGAACCTGCCGTGGATTCTCGCCAGATTCTCCAACGGTGCTGTAGAACCTTCTGGAACATTTCCACGGTTCCATGCCCCTGAGATCTAGCAGTTGCGCTGTGTCCCTGGGTGGGGAGGTCCTCCACATCTCTCTTTCCCACCTGATGGCTGCTCCTCGGGGTCCTCACAGCCCTTGTCCTGGGACCCGTCTCTCCAGTCTCCCGGGACTGGCTTCTGCTGCTCTTTGGAATTCAATCCTCAGGCTTTCCGGTGTCCTGGTGTCCCCTGCCTGGTGCGCAGCCTGTTGCCTGCATTTCCAGAGAGCTCCTTGCACAGAGGGGCACGGAGGCCACTCTCCAAATCCTTGTCCTTCCGATGACTCCTTATTCTGCTTTCACACCTAAACGGAGAAACTCCGTGAAGGAAGCTGTCAACCTGTCAGGGTTGCTACCCAGGAAGCCGGAGCTTTCTGATTACCGTCCCTGGAAGGGAGTGGAGATAGAGATCTCCAAATTTTCTCTCTGGAAAATTTCAGGGTTTTTCTTTCACCTTTTAAATGGAACTTCATGTGATGGGTTTGGTGTGGATCTTTTCTGCCACAGCAGGTCTGGGACCTGAAGCATCACTTCTCTGATCCTTCCTTCTCAAACACCCATGAATCTTAGGTTTGTCTTTATTTCTCCTGCTCATTTTCATTCCTAATATTGATCTTTTTTCTTCATGTTCTGATTCCTTGGGCACTGCCTCAGCATTACTTCTACCCACCCCCTACTGCTTTTTAATTTCAGCTACAGGATTTTTTCTGAGAGTCCCCTTTCCGCAGCACCCTGTTCTATTTTTTGTTGATGTCATATCTCAGCACCTTTTCCCTCTGAGAATATTAATCTAATTTTCAAGGGTTTTCTGCTGTTTTCCTCACTGTTTCTGGTTCCCCCAAGCTCTCCTGCTCCCGTGGTTAGTTCTGGGCTCACCCCTCCCACCTTGTCCCCAATGGTGGCTGAGTCCAGCCCCTCCGCTCCCCTCCGCTCCCCTCCGCAGGCAGGTACTAGGAAGCTGATCCACTAGGGTGGAGTGTCAAGGCTGGTGGTGGGTTTGTTGGCTCCCGGGCTTCCCTCCAGCGGGGAGAGTTCCTTGTCTTCTCCAAGGTTCCAAATGCCAGTGTCTGTGAGATTCTTTGGTGACAGATCATTCAATTTCATGCAAAAAGAACCCTCTAATTTCCCCACAGGGAGTGTCTGGTGGTCCGTGTTCTGGGAACTGAGTGGAGGGCGGTGAAGGGGAGGCTCCACCTTATTGTGCATATTTCCACACCTTTTCTCTGTGTTTACTGAGGGTTTCACCCCAGTTTTCTTTGTGCCTGGGGTCCGGAGCGTAAACCCCAGCCTCTTGCGTGGTAGGACAGGAACTGTCACTGCAGGTTAGAGGACGGGAGCCCTGGGGTCTGGTGGTCCGAGTGACAGGTGTGCAGGCTGCTGGAGCCCTGCCCTCACGGCCCTTTACTGCCTAGGCTCCTGCAGCACTTGGAGCCTGCAGCTCACCTCTCAGGTGCCACCAGCAGTCTGGTTTCCCTCCTGCCAGTTATGAAGCCGCAGAACTTGTGATGTGCCCCAGGCTTTTGTGGAGAAGGAAGAGGAGACATAACAGAGGAGGTGGTCCCCATCCGCCTGGGAGCCACACCAGCAGCCCAAGGCATCGGCAGTGGTGTTACTGTGAGGGGGAAGAGCAGAGGCGGTGGGAGGGAGGGGTGGCGGGAAGCAGGTTCCCTGAGCTGCTCTGGCCTGGCTGCCCCTTGCTCCGGGATCAGATGATCTGGTTCCCATCCTTGGCTCTACTACCTTCGTCCACCAGGTGACTTCAGGCAGCTGACTTGACCTTCCTGGATCTCAGTTTCCTCACTCGGGCAGTGGAATAACCAGGGTGTGGTGAGAATCACAGGAGGCAATTAATCCATGGTGCTGTGCACAGAGCAAATGTTCAGGAAGGGCTATCAATCACTGCTAAACTGATGACCTTTGCTGTCACTGTAGTCACCCTATACAGGAGTGTGGCCAAGGAAGTGCAGCTGGACTGAGAGGGAGGCCACAGTGGCAGGTTCCCCAGCTGGCCGCCATACAGGTCTCCCATCCACGTCCACCTTTCCTGGTCATCCTCGTTCATTCCTGGCTCCCCAGTGACTGTCTTTCAAAACTGCTTTGAATTTTCTTGTCTCCTCGATGATTTTATAAAAATTCCATTCACAACACCTGAGTGGGAATTATGACTGGGTTCTGGCAAAGTGTTATGTGGCTTTGTCGAGTAGCTACTAAATAAAAATCTGATACAGAGGAGTAGCCAGGGACAACTGCAGAGCAGACTTGGCAGGAGACCTGGGCCTGGCTCCTGCTGTCCTCCTTGCCCAGTGGAGGGGAGAGGAGTGATCAGGGGATGGGGGGAGGCAGTGGCTGGAGGAGTTTGCACTGGGCCTAGGAGGAGAGGATTGCATGAGGGTGCTCTGGGTGGTGGGGCTTCTGGGGAGGCTCAGGCCGTTAATGGTCTTGTCTTCTCTCAGATTCAGTAATTTTCCCGGCCACCCAATGGCCCCATAGTTGGACTGTCGTGAGAAGCATATCTATAAATCTTCTTTGAATGGCAAGCATTTTCCAATGTAAATATCAGCTTGGAAGAGACTAATTACTCTAAAAATTATTAGTGACCCAGAGGTTAAAATGTGAGTATTCTCTGAGTAATGCAACGAGTTTCCATCTGTTTAGTACGGGCTGAGTGCTGTTGACAATAAACCGGATGACTTCATTTGTATGCAGATTTGGGTCTATTTGTAGAGGTTTCCCTATGGGTAGGAAAAAATTACTGTCTTAATTAAACCTTGTTGTACATTCAGGCTAGGAGAGAGCAGCTTTGTTGAGCACGGAGCCTCCTGTTACTGGGCAACTAACTTCACAATGGAGGACTTCAAGTGAGGTGCTGCCCTTGGATGTGAGTCAGCTGCTTCTCTGCAGGATTTTATCCCCACCACTGAGCCTTTTCTACAGCTTCCACCCAAAAGGATAATACTACAAACTTGTGGGAGGACTCAACATTGTAAGTCTTTCATCTGGTGTCTCTCTGTGATTCGGTTCTTTCAGGTTAGATGGGGATGGAGTCCAGGGGGGAAAAAGATGAAGGTGGAACTCTGAAGGTCACGGTGCTCTGACCAACAGCAAGATCCAATAAAACTGAGTTGTCCCCAGGTAGTCATGGAAACTATCACAGGTCAGGCCTATTACTGGTGCATTTAAATGTAAATGTGCATTGAGGTAATTTGACTTTATTCTGACTGCTTGAAGCAGTTCTGTGCTCTTGGATGTTGTGGGGGAGGGCAGGTCTAAGTTTTCTTATAAAGCTCTTGGGCCTACCTATGAGGTCCCTACATTTCCTCAAACTTCCCTTATTGGATTCATTGGTTGTGCCCAAGCAATCCCAGGTAAGTTGAGGTTTGAAGTTAGCAATTAATAGCCAGCAGTGGAGAAATGAATAACTAGGTATAACGAAAACCTTTTGGGTTCCCTGTTTCTCATTTAAAATTTGGTCTTGGGTAAATCCCAAAGGCTTCTACGTGATTGACTCCACAAAAGGAGGTACTAGGAAGATGAATTATCTCACAGCTTGGCAACACAGAAAATTGAAGGAAGATCTGTTTGATTTTTGTGAAGTAAAACTATGTACTAGGCCTTGCCTATGGAGCTTGGAGTTCAAGTTTACCACCACTGCATGCAGGCTGATGAGAGACTTCACGAGTGGTGTAGTACCCCAGTGAGGTTGCCTGGCTTTTTTTTTTTTTTTTTTACCTTATTCTAATTTGTTACATATGACATCAGAATGCATTTCAATTCATATTACACACACAGAGCATATTTTTTTCATATCTCTGGTTGTACAGTGAGCCAGGAATGAATAATTTGACTTTTCGCTTTTCCTGACCATTTTACCCATTTCTTTCTGACCACAGCCTAGTAATTTCCAAATTCATACATGCAGCTAGAGCTCTATGATGAGTTTAAGGTTAAAATATGCCTTTCTTGCTGAACAGATAGCTCAAACTCAAAGTGTTTGCAAGTGAACATATTTGTCTTCCAAATCAACTCTACCTGGAATATTCACCACTTCAGAAGGTAGAGCTTTTCCCATTCTGTCACTCGAGCCAGAATCGGGGGTCACTTCTGGTACCCAGTCAGCCCTCCTATCCCTTTCTTCCACCACCACGGCCAGCATCTCTTGCTTGGATTCTACAGCAGACACTTAACTGCTTCCAGGGCTGCTCATCTCAAATCCACCCTTCACACAGCCAGCGGAGCAAGCTATCTAAATGCAATGCTGACCATTCTTCTCTCAGGTGAGCCCAGTGGTCATGAAAGCCTGCAGAACATACGGCAAGGCCCTTGAACAGCACGGTAAGCCCAGCCCATTCCCGGCCTCTTTTCTCATGAATTTCAGAGAGCAGAGATAATGTTTTTCTTTACCTTTCTACCAGTAATAGCTAACCTAACCCATGGGTATTTAATATGTGTTCCTTGAATAAGTAAAAGAAAAGCATGTTTTACAAAATACCCATTACTGATATTCATTGACAGGACCATCCACAAAACCAACTTTTGACAGCTTCAGAATCAGAGTTATCGAGCCAACGAGGACAGAAGCTCTTCCAGGTTTGACCTTATTTATATTAACTTTGAGGCACATTCGGTGATTCCGTTCTCGGAGCTCTTTTATGCTGCCCATGCCCCTTGCAGGGGTCCTCCCTGAGGGTAAGGATGGTGGGAACAAGTTCCTGAGGAGGGCCAGCCACAGGACCTCTGCTTTACTGCGGCAACTGCTTCCTCTTTTCTTTTTTCCTGTCTTGGTAGAATTATAATTCATGGTCTAACACCATTAAGTTCCCATTCTCCTGTCCGCCGTGTTGTAGTGAAGAATGGCCAGAGAGGAACTGTAAAAGACCATGAAGCACGGAGCCACGCTGAGCCGCCGCCCGGGCCAGGAAGGCTGTAAGGGGAGGAGGCCTGTGTGTATTGATAGACCACAAAACCTCCAGGGCCCCACATCCATAGAAAAACCCATTTTCTATCAAATCCATTAGGTGAGTAAAACATGCAGAAAAGCTGCCCCTTTCAGCACTGAGACGGATGTGAACACTGGAAACCGCTCAGCTCGCGGGGTAATGGATGGATACGTTCCGTACAATTATGTTACACAAATCAAAGTTTCCTTTTGGTGCTCGTTTCATTACAGGAAATAAAAAGATTCCCACACCCTATTCATGATGCCGTGGCTCTCCCACTGAAAACAGTAACGTGATCCCCGACTCTGTGTGCACCAGGAGAGCCTAAGACCGCCCAGGGCCCAAGAGCATCTGGAAGAAGAAGGTGGTGATCCTTTAAAAGCCTCAGTTTCTTTGTAAATTGAAAAAAAAAAAAGAAAACAACAGTTCCTTCCTCATAGGGTTGTTGGAATGATATAAAGCAACAGCATCACACAGAAGCAGTTTGAAATACTAATGAACAATAAAAAGGCAAAAAATTCTGCCTCTAAGTAGAGAAAAATAACAGAGACGTCTATGTGTGCAGGGGCGAGAGTTGGTTTGGATTTTTACAGAATGTGCCCAATTCTTTACTGCTCGCCTGTCCTAGAGAAGAAGGTCATCAGTGAGACAAGGTCCAACACCAGCTCCATCCCACAGCTAAGAGAAAAGGATTCCAGATATAGAAACAAACAGTGCCCAGGACACCAGACGGATGCCTGGACTTCCAAGCACGCACTGAGGGTCCAGTTCTGCCCTGGGTCGCTCTCCTATGGGGGAGGTGTTGACCCAGGTGAGACACAGGGTGCTTCGCTGGGTCTCCCTGGATTACGGAGGAGCTCACCCGTCATCACCCAAGTCTGAAAGGAGTTCCACAACTTCCTGTCACCTCGGGAAAGCAGTCAGTGAGCCGCATCTCCCGTACGTTGACTTACACAGTTTGATTCTCCAGGGAAGTCGAGAGCCTGTGTGAGGCAGGACAGGGGCCCACTGGCCTCCAGCTGCCCAAGTGCCCTGGGTGCCGAGTGTCACCAGAGCAGGCTGCTGGTGGACGTGCCGCAGCGCAGACCCCGGGCCTCTGCAGAGGACACCGCTGACAGCAGCCTGGTGGCCACACAGAAAAGGCTTTCCCGGCAGAAGAGGCCTTCCCAGCCTCGCTCCTGCTGGCCGAGGACAGTGTGCGCGGTGGCGAGGGCGGACAAGGCCACGCTGAGCGGGTGTCAGGGAGAAGATCAGGTGGGACGCAGCACCCTGGGTGGGAGGCACAGAGGCTGGGCCTCTCTGTGCTGCTTTTGAAGGTGCAGAACGTGACGGAGACTGTGTCCAGGACGCCCTGAGCCTCTCCACCCGCTGACCTGACCTTGCATTCAGAGGAGCCTCAGGCCTCGGCACGGTAGGGGGGGAGGGGGCTGCAGGTCGTGCTATTCTGCAGGGAGCCTTAGGGCCTGAGCTGGGGTCGGAAAGCAACTCCTCCAGCAGCCTGGCAGCTGGGCACAGCTGCTCCGAACAGGTCCCCTTCTGCCCTCTCTGGCCCGGGAGAACCCAGGGGGTCGGGAGCTCAGGGGGGAGGGCAGGCTGGGCGGAGTCTGCGGACCCACGCATCTCGCCTCTGCAGGACTTTAGGGGAAGTTCAAGGGGACGTTTACCTACAGGTGCAGGGGAATAAATTTCAAGTACATTTAGTGTCGGAGAAGGTGGCTTTAAGGCTGATTTCAATCCACTTGACTTCCTCCTTAATCTTCCTCCTTCCACCTGCAGCAGAACATCACACACAGTGCACACACACCACACACATGACACATCACACATGACACATACACATCATATATAACACACACCACCCACACCACACACCATACACAAATCATACATGACACACCACCCACACCACACACTACACACACCTCACACGTGACACACACCACACACATCATACATAACACATGCCACACAGCATGCACAATACACACCACATACATATCATACCTAATATACCATACACTATGTGTACACATCACACACAATACAGGCAATGCACACATACATACCACATACACCACACACATGATACACAATACATCACACACTCTGCACACCACACGCACATCATACATAACACACAAACCACACACAACACATACACATCATACCAACACACAAAACACAGCCATGCACACCCCACACCACACACATATCATACATAACACATATATCACATACAATACATATCACACAATATACACAACACACACCATGCACACCATGCACATCATATATAACACACCACACATAACTCACACCCCACAAACACATGCACCACACACAATACACAACACAGAGAACACACAACACACACATACCCCACACACCACAATATGCCATATAAAACACACAGTACACATTGCACACACATACCATACCACACACACCACACACACCATACACACACACCATCAACACATACAACACATCAAATACCTGCCACAGATAACACCATACATACAAACCCCTTACACACAACACATACTACATACATTACACCACAGACCTTATACACACCACACATAATACATCACATACATGCACACCTCACCACATACACCATACATGTACACCACACAAGCCACACAGCAAACATACACAGCAATCCCTCACACCCTACCTCCCAACACATGCCAAACATATCACACATCACATATACCATACATACATACATAAACTACACACATAAGCTCACATCTTTTTAGTTTGATAATTTAATGATTTGGGTGATTTATAAAAGTTTGAAGAGTTTTTAATAGTAAAAAAATGGAAACAACTACAACTTGTAAATCTATTATGGCATACATCTGGATAAAAATATTTATTTGAATTTAAAATGTAATACCATGTGGCATAAATCACAAAATAGAGCTATGTAACTTGTAGTTGTATGTCATTAAGTGACAAGCTATTTTCAAAATAAAATAATTCCAGTCTGTTAAAAAGGGTATTTGTGTAAATTCTAGCCAGAACAATTAGGTAAAAGAAGGAAATAAAAGAGATAAAAATAGGAAAGGAAGAAGTCAAATTATAACTGTTTGCTGATGAGCTGATCCTTTGCTTGGAAGAGCCAAAGCCTCCACCAAAAGACAGTTTGAGCTAACCAACAGACTTGGCAGAGGAGCAACTTTCAAAACCAACATACAAAAATGAGTGGCTTTTATACATACCAACAATGAAGCTGCTAAGAAAGAAATCAGGAAAATAACCTGTTCATAGTAGCCTCAAAAAATACCTAGGAATAAACCTAACCAAGGAGGTGAAATGTCTCTACAATGAAAGCTATAGAATTTTGAAGAACAAAATCAAAGAAGACCTTAGAAAATGGAAAGACCTCCCGTGTCATGGATAGGCAGAATTAATATTGCTAAAATGGCCATATAACCAAAAGCAATATACAGATTCAAAGCAGTCTCCCTCAAAGTATCAATGACATTCCTCACAGAACAAAACAAAACAATTCAAAACAACAGTACTAAAGTTCATTTGGAAGAATACAAGACCCAGAAGAGCTAAAACAATTCTAAGCCAAGAAGAGCAATGCTGGAGGCATCACAATACCTGACTTCAAATTATACCACAGAGCTCTAGTAATAAAAACTGCATGGTACTGGCATGAAAACAGATGCACAGACCAGCGGAACAGAATAGAAGACACAGAGACAAATCCTCACATCTACAGTTGTCTGGTCTTTGACAAGGTGCCAAAAACACACATGGAGAAAATATAACCTTTAAACTAATCGTTCTGGGAAAAGTTTATCCATATGCAGAAGAATGAAACCAGATCCTTATTTCTCACCCTGCACAAAAAAAAAACAACTCAAAACAGATCAAAGACCTTGGAATTAGACCAGAAAGTGTGCAACTCCTAGAAGACAACATAGGGTCAACACTCCAGCATATACACGCACAGGCAATGACTTTCTCAGTAGGGCCTCTAAAGCTCAGGAAAGAATGCTAAGAATTAATAAATGGGGCGGCATCACATTAAAAAGCTGCTGCTTGGTGGAGGAAACAATAGGAATGTGACCCACTGAATGGGAGGAAATCTCTGCCAGCTACTCTTCCGACAGAGGGTTGATATCTAGAATATATAAAGACCTCAAAAAACTTAACACCAAAACCCCAAAGAGCTCAATTAACAAATGGGCAAATGAATTAAACAGAGACTTCTCAAAAGAAGAGAGACAAATGGCCAGCACATTTATGAAAAAATGCTCACCATCATTAGCAATTCAGGAAAAGCAAATCAGAACTACCCTGAGGTTTCACCTCACACCAGTCAGTGCGGCAGTTATCAAGAAAGCAAACACAGGTGAATGCTGCAGAGGATGTGGAGAGAATGTAAATTAGTACAGCCACTATGGAAATCAGTATGGAACACCACAGGACCCAGCTCTACCACCCCTCAGTATTCATCCTGAAGAATCAGTCATCTTACTACAGTGACACATGCACACCCGTGTTTATAGCCAAACTCTGGAATATTAGCCTATGTGTCCATCAATAGATGAATGATAAAGAAAAATATATATATATATATATATATATATATATTTATATAGTAGTTTTATTCAGCCATAAAGAAAAATGAAATTATGGCATTTGCAGGAAACTGGATTAAACTAGAGACCATCATGTTAAGTGAAAG